AGGCTTTGGAGTCACACATCGTATAACTTCGTATAATGTATGCTATCCGAAGTTATTACGCTGAAACCTGAAACCCTCCAAAATCTGAAATTTTGAGTGTCAGCCTGACACTCAGAAGTCAAGCTCAAAAGAAGTGCTCATTGGAGCATTTTGTATTTCAGATTTTCCATTTAGAGGTGCTCATCTTTAATGCAAATAAAGCTTATGTTTAGGTTCATAGGATTTATATAATGCAAATATTACAACTATAAAAAAAAATCTGGCATTGAAATGCTCTGGTCCCAAACATTTCATGTAAGGGACACCCAAACTGTACTAGTACAATTTTAACAGTTTTTGTGTATAATTCATTGTCATTAAGTTCATTCACATTGTTGTGCAGCCATCACCACTCTCCATCTCCAAAGCTTTTCATCATCCCAAACTGAGACTCTTACCCATTAAAATATTTTGTTTCAATGTGTGAATTATTGCTAATCAAAATCATGTCAGTTCTTCTGGCCTTTCTTGCCCTCATCCTGAGTCTGCACTTTCCATGTGTATTGGCTCAGCCCCTTTGGTGATGTGTGGACTCTTACCCATTAAAATATTTTGTTTCAATGTGTGAATTATTGCTAATCAAAATCATGTCGGTTCTTCTGGCCTTTCTTGCCCTCATCCTGAGTCTGCACTTTCCATGTGTATTGGCTCAGCCCCTTTGGTGATGTGTTATGCCTCAGGGGCCCAAGGCAGGAATGTAGCTATGTCTCAGAAAGATGCTGGAAATCAGGAACTGCAGAACCACCAGAAACTCAGCAAGTACTGTTTCTACGAATATCAGCATCGTTTTTATTTCTGTCTGCTTTTCTACCTCTGTGGTGGAAACCACTGGAGTTTACAAGTTACAGCTCCAGCCCATTAGAACCAATTAAAAAATACCAGTTGGAAAATTAGAAAAATTTCAAGAATGGTTATTTGAAAATAAACTCACAGGTTTCTTTCATAAGAAAAAAGTTGAGATTTCTACTGAGGTAATGAAGAGTAAATGTAAATTACCTAAGATGCATTATTAAAATATTACTAAACATATTTGAAGTATGTACATATTTACCTAGTATGAAATATTCTATTCAAATGGCACCCTATAATGCAATCACTTTTTCATCCTAAAAAATATAATACTGTTAAAAATTTGATGTATGGTAAGAATAAAACACTGATCCTACAATTAAAGAAATATTATGTAACTGAAGGATACTTATATTTCATATCATGAAATAGTTTGATAATTAGTGAAGGAAAATGGCAATCAAGATATTCCAAGAGGAATATCTGTAAAAGTGCTGGAACATTTGCTAGTCCCCAGGATTGTTATTGGTAAGTCTTGATTTATTTATCCCTGAGCTAATGGGAAACTCTTAATTATCATTGAAGGCCTCAAAATTAGTCTTCACAGAAGATAGACTAGGGGATTCCCAGTTTCTGGTTCCTATATTTTTTGCTACAGTGAAATAATACTAGCTTCACTTTACATGAGGGTTTCTTAACTGTTGAGTCCGTGGAATGACATGGATTCAAGATAATAGTAATTTGCTTCATCAGCCCCTAATTTTTGTAGTTAATCCTAGGAAAGGAAGCCAAAAAACAAAACAACAACAACAAAAAGAAAAACAAAAAACAAAAACAAAACTGATTAGATATTCCCTTGCTCTAAAATGTCCATTTCCATATCCTTTGCTCTATGAAACAGTGATGTATATGAGAGTATTTGCTTACTGTAAAGGTATTATAATTTTGTTTTTCCCCGAACAGCTGTATAGAATATTGCCCCAAAAGCATGGAACTCTAGGTATTAGCAAACTTGGTTTTCATCCTCATTATTTGTCAAGTTACCTGCCTTGCATATGTTACCAGGTTGTTGAGAATCATATGTGTGTGAAACATTTTTATACATTATAAAATGCAATCAAATGGTAATGATGCCTTATATTCAGAACACAAGTCATTTTATATGTGAATGGGAAATGGAGGGCTAATTTGGGCCAAAAGTCCTTAAAGAAAATTAGCCAAACCAAATGTTTTTCATTTTATTTTTCAAACTTCTGCTTAACTGCTCAACAGTGAACACATTTGAAATGGCTGTGCTTGGTGAAAGGGGTGTAATCTGTCATGTTCCAGAGAATAAAAGCAGCTCTGGGGTCTGGAGAAGGCCTCTTCCTTTGTGTACTGTCTCTGCAGCATCTGTTCTCCTCTCCGCCCCCTCGGTGCCAACCCCAGCCTGCGGGCACTGGCAGAGCCATCTGCTCAGGACACGGGGCTTGATTGACACAGATCAGCCAAGGTGGACTCCCTGGCTCTTCTAAATATTTAATAGTCTTTGCCTCTCTGATGTCTATGTTCAGGTATAGAGATATATTTGTGAAAAATACAGACACAGTGGTTAAGTGTAAGCATACAGATGGAACATGTGCAATCAACTCTGATAAGAAATTATAGCAAAGTTCTTTTAAAATTTCGTTTTGAAGGAAGTTCTAGCATAAGGAGTGTCTTATGCAGGAAGGCATAGATGAAGGCAGAGGGGTGAGCCCGAGTCCTGATTGTCTTCTGTATGCCAGGAACAGGGCTTTGTGGTCCCACAAACGTAAGCATGTGTACATAATAATAATAAAAATAATATAGTGTGTGCATTATAAATGCATTGTATCTTTATTACTTGTTCTATTTAATTTCCTTTCCCCAACTTCTACTATTATTTTATTTTATTTTATTTTTGGTGACTGGCCAGTACAGGGTCCCTAGCGTCTAAATTTGTGACTTTATTTACTCAGTTAAAAATAAAAATAACAAGACAAGTATACTTTGTTAGTTAAACAGTATCAGAGACTTTTACTGAGGTGCATGCTTTACAGCTTTGCTTTTTGTACTCGTGTGGGAGAGCTTTTGTTGAAGCAAACAAAAATTAGCAACTGTGGCCATCAGTTGGTGCACCACATGACATATTTTTTTTAAAACAAGGACTATTAGACCTAGTTACTGCACAGCTTGGAAGTATGCAGTTTTGGAAACAGTGCAGATCAGATTCACACCCTCTGAAGTAGAAATATTTCTAGTGAAAGCATAATATAAGGTGGTTGGCACCCCAAGGGACTTGTGTCCTCTTGCATAATATGAGTGTTTGATTATTTATTTTGTATTCTCCATGTATATACAATTCCAGGCTTTGTTTCTGATTTTTTTTTTTTTAATTTGTAGACTTAGTTCTTCTGCATATGGTAAATGAATGAGATGAGAAATGTCTTAAATACGTAAGAATACAGTTTGAGATTCAGAAAGGTTTAAGAATGAAACAAATATAGTATTGTTGTTCATCCTATCACATAACCTCACTGATTTTTTTTTCTTAAAGGTAAGAGACATACATGATAAGAAAATTCTAACTAATCAGTTTAAAAATAGAAAGTTTTTAGTCCCTCTTTCCAAAGTTTGCCACTGTTAAAAATTTCTTGTGTGTTCCTCCAGGAAAAAAAACTCAACGTATATTTAACAGATACTTTACATTTACACAAAAGGGATCATACTTCTACAGTCAGGAATAAATATAGATGGATGATCTCTCCCAC